CCCCAAAACCCCAAAACCCCAAAACCCCAAAACCCCAAGATTTTAAAATAATATTGAATATGGATAATAATTTGGAAGAAATCGTCCTCTGCTCTGAAGAACAGGAATTCACTACTGAAGAACTTAACAAAAAAGCTGAAGAAAAAGTATCTAATTTTGAAATCCCAGAAATCGAACTTCAAGAAGTAGTAGAGGCCAAAGAAATGAGAAGAAAGTTCGCACAATACAATAATGAGGACAATAGAACATTTTCCCTCTATAAAGGAACTGGAGAGAAAGAAGATAGACTGACTGAGCCTCAGATCTTTGAAAAGTTAACCTCTGTCCAAGATGAGCTGAAAGGACTTGAGCAGGAAGCCCTCAAAAGAAATGATATTTATAGCACAAAAGAAGATTTACAGAAAAACAAAGGAGCCCTTCAGAATATCCTGGAGATGCAAAGAGTAGTGCAAGCCTACCTCACTTCGACAGATATCTCAGAGACATCAGTTGGAAAGGGAATCAGTGAAATTTTGGATAAAGATTCTGAAATCAGCTCTAACAAGGCTATTTCAGAGGCTCTAGGAGAAATAGTGGATTATACATATCAGTCCAATAAAGTATCAGGCTCTGAATCAGTAATAGATCTAAATGAAGACACTACTTCCTTCATCCCTGAGTTTATAGCTTTAGAAGAGTCTATCTCCTCTCTTGAGACAGTTGTGGGTCGTCCTGATCAGAATGCTATTCCAAATGTCAAGCTAGCACTTGAAAACATTCTGTATAATATCCCTCCGATGGACCCAAAACAGCTAGATTCATTAAAGAAGTTCAACGCTGTGTTAAAGAAGAATTTTATTGATTTGGTCAAGGAGTACAACACAATGTCTTCAAAATCATCACATCCTTTATCTGAGAAGCAAATCTCAACTCTCTACAAGATTGCTCAAAGAGCAGTTCAAGAAAACGACACAATCGAACTTATTATAGAAAGAATTAAGGGGATCAAGAAGCTCCATGACCAGAGCCCAAATCTGCAGACCAACATGAACCAACTCCAGGCTAAACAGAAGTCTATCTCTGAGATAACTGAGAAAAGCAAGCAAGAAGCCAAGAGTCTGAAAGCTGAGCTGAAGAAAGAATTTGACTCCATACTTACTGATTTAGATCAGTGAGAGGCAGATCTCAATGAACTCACTAAGTAGATAAAGTTCAATCCTTAATATGAAGGTTGGGGTTTTGGGGTTTTGGGGTTTTGGGGTTTTGGGGTTTTGGGG